GTGAGACAAGGACGACCGAGATTGATGTCCGTCCTTTTCTAACTAACCTACTCGCATTCCTGCACATAGCACGGAACACAACCGTGGACATAGCACGGATCACCACCAAAAGATCGTGGACATAACCGACAAAATCGTGGACATTGGCTACGTAGTTCAATGTCCACGTTTTGTGGACATAGAGGCGCTGAAACCAGCTCAATCGCCTGTCCCAGCTAAATCGCGGGCATGGCCGCTCTCAGGATCCTCTCTGCTCCAAACCACCGGCGATTCGGGCTTGCCATTGCGTCACGCGTGTCGCACATGCGTTTTGTTTAGGACCTGATATCCTAACCTCAACTGCTGCCCCAGCTGTATCGACCCTACCTCAGGGCGGACTGCGGAGCCCTGCCATGGTCAAAAAGACACTCAAAGAAGAAGAAGAACTGCTGTGCTGTCCCGAGAATTCGGTTAATATGATTAATACTATATATCATAGTAACCGAATTTTCGGGGCGGCGGTTGAGTCGATTCGACGCGGACTCGACAGCTGGTCGTTGACGTTTGCGGTGCGAACGTTATTCCCGATATTTGTTTCGCGTCTGCGGAGAATTTAGATTCTCCAAAATTGTCTCAGCATCGTAAGGTGAAAAGAGATGGCCAATATTAAAATGCGGAAGGTGTTAAACTAAACTTGGCGGACTCGATTTTATTCTGATACTTGCTCTATAATTCTGGAGTTATATCCGCGTGCGTTATACGTAATTTTTATCGCGATATCGAGGAGTTACGGACACTGCGGCCTCATTCACGAGGAATATCGCGCACGAAGGCACTACAGTACACGTTACGTGTATTGTAGATCTCAGTATCGTTTCGTATGTGATATAGATTAAAAATTCTTAAAAATATGGCATTTTTTTACCAGGGACTATTTGTAAAAAAAAAAAAAAACTGAAAGAAAGGGAATTCAAGAGATCGCAATCTCGAAACTCGATATACTGATATATTTTATATATTTCAAGATTTTCAGATGTATTCTCCAAATCACCGGCGATTCGGGCTTGCCATTCACCATTGCATGTCGCACGACTCGCACACGCGATCAAGTCAATATCCTAACCCTAACTCAACTGCGCTGCCCCGAGAATTCGGTTAATATGATTAACATTTATGTATCATAGTAACCGAATTTTCGGGGCGGCGATTGAGTCGATTCGACAGCTGATCGTTGACGTTTGCGGTGCGAACATTCTCGATATTTGTTCGCGTCTGCGGAGAATTTAGAGATTCCCGAAATTGTCACAGCATCGTCACATACGAAGAGAGACGGCCGATATTAAAATGCGGAAAGTGTCAAACCAAAGTCGGCGGACTCGATTTTATTCCGATTACTTGCTCTACATTTCTGAGAGTTATATATCCGCGTACGCGTTATGCGTAATTTTTATCGCAACTCGAGGGGTGGAGGTGGGGGGGGGGGAGTTACGGCACTGGGGGGTTTCATTCACGAGGAATATCCGCGCACGGAGGTACTACAGTACACGTCACGTGTATTGTAGATCTCGGTATCGTTTCGTATGTGATATAGATTGAAGAGCGCATAGCGCCCTGGTCGCGCGAATTCACGCGGATCTGCGAGGCGCGCGGCGAACGCGGCTTCCACCCGCGGCCTGATCGTTTACCCGGCCTGACTTCGCGCGTATGGCGCGCCTGCTCGACCTCATGCTCAAGCTGCCCCAAAGTTCGATCACTCGGCGGCGGTGGTTTCACCAGGTGAACCGGTATCTCGTCGCGTTCCTGCTCGGGACGCTCTTCATCGTCCTGTGCCTGAGCTACCTGTCGGCAGGGTCATGCGAGCGGGACCGGCGGGCGGTGGAGAGCAAGCCCAGGTACCGGCTGATCGTGCTGATCCTGAGCGGCCTGGACAACCTCGAGCGCCGTAACACCATCAGGAAGACCTGGCTGGGCGCTCGCGACGCCACGGTGAAGCACTTCTTCGTCGTCGGCACCCAGGACATCCTGCCGGAGCAGAGGAACACCCTGCAGTCGGAGAAGCAGAAGTTCGACGACCTGCTGCTGCTGCCGCGGCTGCAGGACTCGTACGGCACGCTGACGAAGAAGGTCCTCCACGCCCTGAGAGACGTCCACGAGCGCTACGACTTCGACTACCTGTTGAAGTGCGACGACGACTCCTACGTGTTGGTGCACAAGATCCTGAAGGAGCTCGACAAGTGGCAGAGCAAGGGCACCCGGCGCGAGCTCTATTGGGGCTTCTTCAACGGACGGGCGCAGGTGAAGAGGAGCGGACCCTGGAAGGAGACCGATTGGATCCTGTGCGATTACTACCTCCCGTACGCCGTGGGCGGAGGATACGTTCTCTCCTACAATCTCGTCAAGTTCATCGCCAGCAACGCGGACATCCTGAAGTGAGTATAGCTGCGAATTGTGCGTAAAATACTCTGTATTATATTTATCACTTTGACTGCCGCATTTTCGTAATCGATCCTCTCGCGTCACACTAGGTATAGATATTATCTTTTTTTTTACACATATAATGTAATTTTAAGTAAATTTTTTTCACTTTACGTTTATATTAAAATATTAATATTAAAATAAAATATACTTTTTAACAAAAGTCTTCAGCAAAGTTGACAAATCTCTCGAGGATTCAGAATATACTGTATAAAATCAATGCAAAGTACTTTCGATTTTTATGCAAATGATAGCAAGTAGGAAGTGTGTGTTAAATTAACACTTCAAAATTGATACAACGGTGCCCTGAATTCACGTAGGTGTGTGTCCACTTGGATATACATGGCAGTCAAAATGTTACGTGTATACTTTGTATATAATGATGAAGAAAGATCTGTTTTATATATATTAGGGGGAACAGATAATTTTGTGTGTTTTACTTCAGTCTTAAGAATCATTCACATAAGGAGAAAGCATTACAAATTTTTATGTCGGAAACAAAGCATTTTAGAAAAAAAATGTTTCATACAAAAGTTTTGTGATACACTTAAAGGAATTATTGCTGAAAAGTTTGTGTGACTTCGAAAGAGTAGTTACTAGTGCAATTTACGATTGGTTCTAACAAATTCTGCTTTTCCGCTCCTAATGTGAATCGACTCCCTTGATTCTTTCCCCACCATTTCTCTCATAACTTTGCACCAATAACTTTGTCTTTAGGTTGCACAATTCCGAGGACGTCTCCGTCGGTCTGTGGCTCGCGCCGCTGGCGAACATCGAGAGGAAGCACGACGTGCGCTTCGACACGGAATACCGGTCGCGCGGCTGCTCCAATCAGTACATAATCACGCACAAGATAACGGTCCAGAATATGATGAGTATGCACGACTACTATCAGACCTCCTTGGGCGCGCTGTGTCCCAAGGAAGTTCGGAATCGCATGAGCTATCAGTACAATTGGACCGTACCGCCCAGTCAGTGCTGCAACAGACAATCCGGCATCCCTTAACGCGACGCTGGGTGGAAGATTTCTGCAAGAGTTCTAGTCTGGTTTTTTGATACTTGCTCAAAAACCACATTCTCACGTTGATCTCACGTACTCATAATGGCCTATAAACTAATTCTATTTATATTCTAACTTGTCTAACCTTCATTGAAATCAAATGCCACAAAAGCGTAGCCGTAGTTTCCAAAAGTAAGCAATTTAAACATTAATTGAAGAAAGTGTTTGCGAGAAGATTATAGCAAATTCCGCGAAATTTCTTCGGCAGAATTAAAGCGACTTTAAATCTAGATTTTATTCGTTATACTCGAGTATAATTGCACGCGGCAGCGTTATTAATATAATTAATTGAAAACGCTTGTAAATATATTTTGTAAATACTCGGTGACGAGCAGATAGACATTAGACGAGATAAGTTTGGTGAACTAAATATATATATATATATATATATATGTTTTAATTATATTACTGTACTTCGTTCACAATACACTTTTCCTCCTTAACGGCAGAGAGTTGTCTTCGTGTATATATAAAGCGACGTACATTTCATAACATATAAAAACAGTAATAACGTTAATATTTTAATTAATCTAATTAAAACTATGAGTCATAGCGAAATCACAGATATATTCAAGAAACGGCCGTGGAGAAAAAAGAATGGCAAAAATGTAAAGCGATTCTTATGCGACGCGGTTTGCGTTACCAATAAATTACTATTTTGATGTACAAGGAGAATATGTGTCCGTGTATATGTGTGAAGTGATAGCGAAATGATGGCCGATTCTCAAAACGTTTTCCGTCTGTGATGAATTTACATCCGAACTGTGCTACCATTACATCTACAATTGATAATAAATAATATTGATAAAAATAATAAAAGTTCATATCGATAAATAAAATTTCATTTATGTATCAACAATTTTATATAATTAAAAATAAAATTAGACTCTTTTTAATATAAAAAAAGCCCGCGATATGATTTTATTATAAGAAAATTTTAAAACGAGAAATTTAGTCTCTATATATTTTTTTTATAACAAACATCGTTTATAAAGAAATTATTTACGAACGTTATTTACAGACGTTAGCGCGAACAAGATCCTTATTTGTATATTTATTATTACTCATTGTAAAAAATGAAAGAATTATTTCGTTATCAGTATTAGATGCAATGGAAATGCAGTTCTATTCTCTCTCTCTCTCTCTCTCTCTCTCTGCATTTCTCCTAAATTTTCTATCATTCTTTTATACAAAAAGTCAGTTTACTTTCAACATGAAAAAGTTGTGCACTAGTCTCTTCTTCAAACGGATGACGATCAGCAGATTCAAACAGTCCTAGAGTTTACTTCTTTTTGCGATCTTGCGTACATTTGGGACAATACCACTTTCCTTTAGGTTTTGTTGTTAAACCCACGCAGGCAAAGTGGAACCACTCTATAGGGCACTGAAATGTGGGAAAAAAATAATGAATTAATAGTCTCAAAAATCTTGTAATGCTGATAATCTTATAAATTATTTCATTATATGAAATTGAATTATAATAAAAATTGAAGAGAAAAATCCACATTAAAAAAAAATAAATAGGCAGTAAAATTTTGTTTGAACTTTTAAGTTCAGGTCGATATATTGCTCTTAAAAAGCAATAGCAAAGCAAAAGAATTTTTAACAAAACTTACATCTGGATTATCACAACCAATCATTTCTCCGTATGATACTTGATGACAAAGACAATAAGTCGGTTCGTTAGGATCGACAGGCATGTCCAAAACGTCGGCTGGGTGACCGAGCGCTGTTGCATCTACCTGGGCGCCGCTTCCCACAGCGCCGGTAGACGACGCTGAAGCTACAGAACCACCTAACAAGAATATATACATTTATAATAAAATAATGGATTTAACATTTAAGAGGGCCTAATGAATTAGAAATTATAAAATTCACGCAAAAAAGTTATTAGGCGCTAAAATCCTGCTGTGACTGAATGGGTTCTTTCTTTGCTTATGTATTATTAAAGCTCCTGTTCACTCACCAGTACTATTTCAGCTTGTGACATTAGAAACAAGAAAATACACAAAAATTTTTGCAAAATATAATAAATAAAAATATATTTCAATAAAACAACATTTATAATTGATAGAATCAGTTCGTAAAATATACACATACATACGTAAAATATACACTAAAATTCTCCATTTATTTTGTTAATTATTAAATAATTATATGTCTAAAAACTAAATTATCCAAATAATAAAATAATGAAGTTACGTTGACAGCTATAGCAATAATCTCTCTCAAATTAATAATATATAGAAAAATAAAATAAAATTTAATTTCTTTCCAAAACAAAGATTTTTATATATATTTTATAAATCTATTCTATTTAAAATGTATGTATATATTGCAAACGTTGGTTTATTAAAAAATGTTTTTGCACTTGAATATATTTTGCAAGAATTTTTGTGTTTTCTTTCTTCTGACACTGCAACCTGATTATGAGATAACAGTGGCGAATAAACTGGAGTCTTAACATTCAAGAATTGACAAAATTGTAGCAAGTTATAGACTGTATTAGCTTAATCAACGTACCTTTCTTCTGCTTCTTTCTCGCATTCTTAGCCTCATCCTCACTGCTCAATACAGTACCCTTCTTCCTCTTCTCCTTCTCCTTGAGCTTCTTCCTACCCTTCTTACTGGCATTGCTCTCCTCCTGCGCTCTATTGCTGTTCAACGTCTTGTCCTGTATCTCGGCCTCGAATCTCGCCAGGTCCGAGTCCAGTCGTCTGATGTGCTTGTCGACCAGTTCGTAAGTCTGAATAGCCAGCTGGACCTTGTCGTCGCCGTATTCCTTGGCCTTGTTAAACAGACTTTGTATGTGAGTGAATTGCTCCTTCTTCTTGTCCGGCGATTCCTTCTTCAAGTTCCTCAAGTAATCGTCCGCCAGCTTATCGATGTCCTTCATCAGACCCTGCGCCCTCGCGTCCAGGTCGCGCATCAGCGTGAAATTCCTCTGTAATTCGATTGGCAGATGCTCGAGGCCTGGAACACGCCGCACAATCGGCAAAATATATCGAACTTAAGTCGATATATTTATTAAATGAGATTCCTGTAGATTAAACATTTTTTATTATGTATGCATGCAATTGAAATAAATGTAAGGAGAGAGCAGAGGGTCTGATTTTAAACGCAAAATTCATCAATTTGGAGGAAGATTTTGATATATTATTCGTTATTCCATCGGATGATGGATTTGCACCCTCAACTTCTCCGCGAGGTTATGTCACGCTTTCGTTGCCAATTTATATTTTTTAAATAAAAGTTAGGTTAGGTATCTAACAAAACAAATGTCGAAATCTTCAATTATCTGACGCATTTAATAAAAAATACGTTCACAGTTTTCAATTTCCAGAAGACATGGTAAATACAATCTCGCGATTTAAAAGAGTAGGCTAAAATTTAAAAAAACATGGAAAAATTCAGACGAGGACCGGGTAGAATGAAATAAGATATTAATAAGAGAATATTTCGGCGCGCTCCATTAATTTCCGCACTTTCCTGCTGTTCCTTCGTCCTTCTCTCGCGCCAGGCGAATAACGTTGGAAAACAGAAGGGAAGAGTGCGAAAGAAATTTTAAAGAAATCAACTGGCGCGTACAGTACTCACTGTCGAGATAGTGCTCCAGATACAACGCGGTCGTCATGCCGGTTTCGTCGTATCTTCATGTAAACAATAGGGAATCGATTGAGCCAACGATTTAACTTTCGTTGCGAAATGATCGAGAAATAACGGCAAGATAATAAATATTCGTTCAACTGGCAACGATCCTCGATAACGGGCACAGATAAAGCGCGACGGCGGCCATGATTACCGTCAGGGCTGCCAACAAGGTCTGGTCAGAGAGAAGCGTGATAGTCCAAGAGCTGGCTACACGGATTTCAAAATTACTCGGTACAAGGCCAGTTCCTATCTAAAAAGGTTCGATTTGTATCGCCATTAACGAAAACGCACTTCTGCCGCGCCGCCCCCGGGGACGTATGTGTGGACAGGGCGGACAAACATGTAAATTTTCATAGCTCATTAAAAGTATTAGTACAAGGCTGAAACTTTG